CACAGCTCTTCGCCAAAGCCGGCATATAACACCTTATCCGTGTTGTCCTGCAGGGCATTTGAGTAGATCAGAATAGAGACAGCCTGAAGGCGCGCCTGAACAAACTGAAGTCGCAGTTTGTAGTTGTTGAAGCCTGAGATCAAGCGCACCCGATGGGCAATGCGCATCTATGGGGGAAATTGGTTACCTTATTATATTCGTAATTATGAGGTAATTATTCTAGGAACACACCTTAATTGCCTCACTGGGCTTTGAGATCTGTCCGGCAATCGTTTTGATCACCTCAGGAGCTGATGCCGTGTGGCAGAGGTCCATCATGTCCGGGATTTCAAGTTGGGCGGCGTGACCGTGCTCGTCCACATAGTCGATGCACAGCTGGTAGAGGAATTCCAGCTTTGGCTCGCCAATGCAGCAGTCCTTGAGCGACAGGCCATAATTAGGATCACCCCAGCGCTAAAAAGTATATTATTCATTATAGAAACCAACGAAAAACCACAACAACTAATATCATGACCCACCTCGGCTATGTTAAAGAGTTTGACAATCAGTAGCTCCTTCTTCTCGAAAGGCAGGCGGGGGATAAAATTGCTGCGCTTGGAAAACATGTAGAGCAGATTAAGGACGGCCAAGACAATGTCCATGTTCTGAGAAGAGAGCAGCACCGTCAGATGTTCGATGGAGTTGTACAGGTGACGCGAAAACGAGTGCTCGATCAGCAGTGTGGTAAAGTTGAGTACGTGCAACAGCAGTGTGACATCCTGAGAAGGATAAATGGAATTAAAGATGTATATTTGTATTAACCATAGGAACTTGAAGGACTTTTCGGTTTCACATTCTCGGAATAAGAGCAAATTCAATTTATTAACAACGTTTTTAAGAACATACACTTTAATGATCGGTTTAAATAGAACTGCATTGGGTTAAATTTTGTAAAATGCGGACTTTCTCATATCTGAGGAGGAGGACAACTATATTCAATACAGATATCTAAGCTGAATGAATCCGTGGAAACCTGAAGAAGGTACACCGTGAAAACTAACCGTTGTCCTTACCGTTTCCTGGAAGTTGGTGTCACACTGCAGCACGAACTCGTTGCCGTTGACATGGCGCGAAGCCTCCTCGAGGATCTTGTCGAACCGGTCGAGAATCTCGATCCAGTGATACAGCTCGCACTTGCCATAGATCCAGACGTGGACGGTGTCGAGGAACTCGAGGAGCTCGGCCCGCGTTCGCCGCTTGGTCAGCTCATCGATGAGCTCGCGACACTCGGCCGTGAGCTCTGAGGAGCCCTTCTTCAGCTTCACCGTATCCACCTTCATTGCGGCAGTTGTTTGTGGAGCTTCTGGAGCAGCAGGTGGCCACCACTATGGGTGGTGCTCCTCCTCCTCCGCCTCCTGCCTCTCCCTTTTGCTCCTCTTTCGTTGGCTGGGCGTTGAGTTAGTGGTTCTTATAGAATGTTTATTTTCTAGCTTAAAAGGCGTCGGGGCGTCGATCGCTTACAGGTTGGGCATCGAATTGTGGTTTAAACGTGTACGTCAGCGTGTTCAAAAAACTACAATGAAATTGAGAAGTGTAACATTTTTGGTTGATTATTATAAAATAGAACAACAATTCCGGAACCCAAAAATGAAAGTAGATAACACACATGCGTTTGCTACGCTTCGATTGAGAATTTCAATTCTAATTTTTGGGTTCTCCGTCGCGCTCGTTCTCTTGAACATTCTCAGTCTCGTTTTCGTATTTTCGCAATCTAACTGCACTTGTCAGCTGAGCCAAGCCAATTGGGCAGAAACTTCCAACTGGCAACAGTGCAAAGAACGGGAAAAACAAAAGGAAACCCAAACAGAGCGCGCGCGCATTAACAGACTTTTGTTGTTGTGTTTTGGATTATAAAGAAATGAGGTGTACGACTTGGATATCCGATTCAATAGTTGTTTTGCACTATTTTCTTTCACAAACACGAACGCACACACACACACACACACACACATGTCAAACGCAACATGTTTGAGCAAAATGTCAAATGAGCGCCAAGCGCAGAAAGGTGCACGGCGAAAAGAGAGAGAAAGGAGCGGAGGAATTGAGCGAAAAAGAAGAGAAGTGGAGGGGAGATGCGTAAGTCAAGGTTGACACAACAACAAAACAGAAGACTGCAGCAAACTCCTTTTCCCCACATACACATAAGCACACACACACGCACTTTATTTCACGGAAAACACACTCTTTTAACGCCAATTTTCGCTTAATTCACAGTAAACAAGTGAAAATGAGAAATATACGTATGTATGCCTGTCTGGTTCACCGAATTTTCATTATTGCAGCACTGGCAGCCACAGCAACAACAACAACACTTAAAACTCTCTCCACTCTCTCCGCTGCATTTCTCCTTGGTTTCGGGGCTGTTTCAAGCAAACATACTCTCTTCTTTTTCACACGCGAATGTATAGCGTATTTAAAAGTTAAAGAAAATTACCGTGACTGTAAATCAACACAACAAAAAAAAATATAGACGAAAAGAGAGCAGCGAAAAGAAATTGCCACAGTCAGAACAGAAACAATGCAGTGGGTGAGGATTTGGTTGTGTGTGTGCGTGTGACTGTTTGTGCGAGTGTGTGCTCGCACTAATGTCTGTGTGTGTGTTTATGCGTTCTCGGAAATTCGACTAGCGATACTCACAATTATATTTAACTGCAGCATATTGCTGCTATTCTTACTTCGATCTTAAACGCTCTTATTTGCTTAATTTAACAATCTCAGTTTTTGTGAAATGAAATTTCTACAGACGAAATGCAAGCATAAATAGTGTGACCAGACACCGCAAACGCTTCAATCCACGGTAACTATGAATTCCAATCGACTTTGCGTATCGGTGGCTATCGATATGGATCGTTTTATTAGAGTTTCTTTTTTTTTAGCAAAAAAATGGAAAAACTTTGATATTTTGTTTTCAGAGCCCAACGTTAAATCAAACTTTAATCGAATTTAAGTTGAAAGTCGCAGCCTGGTGTCTTTTAAATATATGTACATTAAAATGTATCGATAGTTAAAATACCCAATAGCTACAATCTAAATTTTTTTTTAATTCGGCATCCTTTTGATTTGAAAACTGAACAGGTTTACCAGCTATCGACAGTTTTTATATGTTTTAATTAAATTGAATATCGCCGAATTTTAAAATCTGAATTACTTTATTTTGATTTCAGACGATTTTAGCTCTTTCCATACATAAATTTAGCCCACTTCGGTTTTATTACTTACAAAGTATTTATTTTTGTAGTTTTATTTACATTTTTAACTTAATCGTCATTTGTAAAAGTTAACTTGACTACGTACACTGAACGACAAACGGGTTGAATATCCCCTTATAATAGGTCAGGGTGGCATATTCCTGAGGGTTTTGCCAGAACTACGCACAGGGGCTACATCAACACGAATGTGAGCATGCGAACTATTTGGTTAAAATCTAGACTTATGGATTAAAAGGTATGCTGGAGCTGCGTGCTATTGACCTCGGTGCTCTGGAACTGCCCAGTTTCCGCCTCGAACAGCACCTGCTGGATGCGCAGCTTAGCCACGGACCGAGAGTATGAATCCGGAATGGTTCGCAGCTGGGATGCGATGCTCTGGCCGAAAATCATAAGCTCATCTTCACCGGCCGAGTCCAGACTCGTATTGTACTTCGGTTTTCGTTGTGCCTGCGTGGGTGGAAGCTGTTGGGAGCTGCTGCACCCCTGAGGATGGTGCTCCTGCTGTGGGTGATCCACCAGGCAGAGCGAGGAATCATCCAAGACTAGGTCGGCTTTGCAGGCACGAGTATTTACCGCAGTCATTGAAGTTATGCAGCTGCTTCCCGTTGGCTTGCTTTGCTCCGAAGGACACTCCTCAGGCTCGCCATCTACCTCTGCATCCTCCTCCTCTAGCGCATCCTCACTCATACTGATATCCGCGGCGGCAGTGAAAAGAAGCTTGCTCGAGGGCAGCAGCGTCGTCTCCTCCGTTTTAACCGGCGTTGGTGGAGCACTGGCATGCTTGTTTTTTCCCTGATATCAAAAGATAGATTTACATTCGTACCATAATACAGATCGCAAAATCCTACCTTTTTGCAGTGGGAGAGGGAAACGGAGCGCAGGAAGGAGTCGGCCAATTTAAACCAAAATAACTTGGGCTCGTAGCTCCTACCCAGCTCCTTTTCGCGCATCCAGATGCGCAGCTCCTTGGAGTAGACAGTACGCACGCTCTTGATCTTAAGCTTTATGTCAACAACGGTCAGTTGGGGTATCTTCAGGGATCGGATTATCGCACCGTAGGCCTCCTCCCGGGACACCCGATTCTTGTACGAGTCCAGAAGCGAGTTGTAGAGGCACGGCTGGCGACGGTATGCCTCCAGGAACTCCGTGATCGGGATCTTGGTGTCGCTCAGCTTCGACATGACCAATTCCGAATTGGGGCCTTTTTGGGCCAATACAAAACACAACACAACTTTTGTTTACACTTGTTTAGTGTGGCCAGCCGATGGGCGAATTGTGACCAAATTTCGCAGGCGTTATCTGACGATATATCGTTTTCGAATTTGAATAGGTTTTACATATAAATTTTACATATAAACTTAGCTATCTTAGGAATATAAAAGATGGCCATGTTATTTCAAATCTCAAAGTAATTGTAATGTGTAAATTTCTTTATATTTTAATGAAAACAGAATATTCATTTTAAATTACATAGATATATATTTCATACAGTCTTGATATAGTTAATTTAAGCGAATCAAAACTATTGCTTTTCAATTACTAAATAAGAGAAACTATATGTACGCAATTTAAAACAAGTTTCTTTAATTTACATATGATTTAGGGATTTAATTACGAGGAGACTAACCGATACTATCGCCAGCTAGTGCCATCTCCTGCCAGTGTGACCTTCGCACAAGTGACCAGTGTGACCCTGCCGCACTTACGACCGAATCCTCTCCCGCTCCGCGCGTTTCGTGCCAAACGCCACCGCCACCACGTGGAGCCTTTCTCCCGTTCTGTTCCGTTCAGTCGTCTCTCTCTTTTTCTACCGAAAACGGTAACAGGCAGCAGGCACTTTTCAGCAGCTGCTCCGTGCGTGCGTGTGTGTGTGCGAGATCCGAACCGAACCGATCTGTTCCGTTACCGTCGCCGTACCGTTATCCTTCGCGAACTTCAAGGGACACTCCTTCGCGCTGCACTAACCCACCATCCTTGATTATCAGTCAAGTCCAATCGACGCCAAGGTGAGTAATTGCACACCGTCATCGTCGTCATCTCGTCGTGGAAAATTCAATAATGTGCGCAGCGCAACACACATGCAATTTTACCATTTCTGCGACTGCCTGACTGTGTGTCTGTGTCCGTGTGTGCGTGCTGTAACATCGGCCAGGTGCGTGTGTGGGTGCGATAGAGAGGGACGATTGATGGTGACAGCAGATCGCGCAATGCAGTTTTTCCGCATTTCCTGCAATTTCCCTCTGCTATCAATGGGCTCCATTATTACCAGTGTGTCCCAGTGAATCATGTATCCCATTCAGACATCCCGACCGTTAGAAGAAGAGGAAGAAGTGTGCCCCTCGGCAACAGAGAAAGAGAGAGCGAGGGAGAGCGCGTGTGAGGGAGGCAGAGAGCGGCACAGTGGAGCGCAGCCAGCACAGTGGAAATTTTTGAGTTTTTGCTGACGCTGTCTAATTTTAAAATTGAGTTCAAATTTTATTTGTTCTTTGTTGAAACAGTTGGTTACACGTGATCATTGTTGTGTATGCAAGTGTGGGCGGGTAGGAAGAGAGAGAGGGCAGGAAATCCAAATCCAGGTGGCCTTGAACATGATCCTGTCAGTTAAACAATGCTGCCCATAGAAATAAAGGCGGCAAAAGAACGGGCACAGTGCTGCCCAGGATCTGCAAATTGCAAAATGTTTCTTTAAATTTAAATATATGGCAATTATAATTATTTATTAGGACGTGACAACAAGGTAAAACGTTGTTTGACTTTTCTTCTGACTCCAAAACTAGGAAATGTGGACATCTTTAGCCATCTTCAGCAGCCCACAAAGGGAAACAAACAAAGAGCAGTATAACTTTTAAGTGTGCAAAGCAAACAATTTTCAATCGATATCTTGTACTTGACTATACATTTTTTAAGGGCTAAGTGCGAGTGGTAAAACTGTCTTTTTTCCCACTAGTGCGCGAATCGATATTGCAAGGGTTCAGTTTTTAAGCATTAGCGAATATTGAAGGTTTAGTTTCAATATTATTTAAAGTTGGTCAATATACGTTTCAACGATTAGATCGGTAATACTGATCGTCAAAGCCTCTGGTTTCTTTTATTATAATCTTTATAAGGTAATCAACGCGAAAAGAACGATCGGTGGTCTGGCATTCGTAGATAAGACAACCACAACATTAACTTGAAACCTGTTCCGGTTCTATGACCTTGTGGGAAATATCTAACCCTTTCCAGGAACTACCTCTTAAAAAAAAAGTTTTCAAAACATATATAACTTAAAAATTATACTTATATATTATAAATACCAATTCAGAGCGAAGAAAATCAATCATTCTATTTTACTGTCAGTACTGGCGGTGACTGAATACGACACAATATAGAAAACCTTTGGCAAAGCAAGATTGAAATAGACTCCCCGAGAGAAAACAAAATACCAGTAAAGTAACAAGAACCCGATTTGGTCCATTTGCAGCCGGAATAATGTCATCCGCCGCGAAGAAACGCGAGGCGCAAAAGAAGAAGGATGCGCGCAACAAGAAGATCCAACAGATACCATCCACCAAGAAGGCCAACGGTGTTCCGGAACGCGAACTGACCGAGGAGGAGAAGCTGTGTGCCAAGCTGGAGGAGGAGGCTCGGATTAGTGCGGAGGCCCGATCCTGCACCGGATCGCTGGCGGTGCATCCGCGTTCCCGCGATGTCAAGATCGCCAACTTTTCGATCACGTTCTTTGGCTCCGAGCTGCTGCAGGACACCATGCTGGAGTTGAATTGCGGACGTCGCTACGGTCTGATTGGCCTGAACGGATGCGGTAAATCTTCGCTGCTGGCCGTGCTTGGCGGCAGGGAGGTGCCCATACCGCCGCACATCGACATCTTCCACTTGACGCGCGAAATCCCGGCCAGCTCAAAGAGTGCCCTACAGTGCGTCATGGAGGTGGACGAGGAGCGCATTAAGCTGGAGAAGCTAGCTGAAGAGCTGGCCATGAGCGAGGAGGACGATGCCCAGGAGCAGCTGATCGATATCTACGAGCGGCTGGACGATATGTCCGCTGATCTGGCAGAGGTCAAGGCGGCCCGCATCCTTCACGGTCTTGGCTTTGACAAGGCCATGCAACAGAAACAGGCCAAGGACTTCTCAGGTGCGTAAAACTTTTTGTGCATGATGGGATGTCATATGTAACCAATTTGTGATTTTTTTTTCTAACCTCCAGGTGGTTGGCGAATGCGTATCGCCTTGGCCCGTGCTCTGTTTGTGAAGCCCCATTTGCTGTTGCTGGACGAGCCGACGAATCACTTGGATCTTGACGCTTGTGTGTGGCTGGAGGAGGAGCTAAAGACATACAAGCGCATCCTGGTGCTCATCTCGCACTCGCAGGATTTCCTTAACGGTGTCTGCACGAACATCATACACCTGACGGGCAAGCGACTCAAGTACTACACCGGTAACTACGAAGCCTTTGTGCGCACACGAATGGAACTGCTGGAGAACCAGATGAAGCAGTACAATTGGGAACAGGATCAAATTTCGCACATGAAGAACTACATTGCTCGCTTCGGTCACGGTTCCGCCAAGTTGGCACGACAGGCGCAGTCCAAGGAGAAGACTCTGGCCAAGATGGTGGCACAGGGACTCACCGAGAAGGTGTCCGATGACAAGGTGCTCAACTTTTACTTCCCATCGTGCGGCAAGGTGCCGCCACCCGTGATTATGGTGCAGGTTGGTTTCTCTTAATGACATGGTGTAAAGGTTAAAGGTTACTAACTAATGAGATGCTTGCCGTAGAACGTGAATTTCCGTTACAACGATGAGACACCGTGGATCTACAAGAACCTGGAGTTCGGTATCGATCTAGACACACGTCTCGCTTTGGTGGGACCCAACGGAGCTGGCAAGTCTACGTTGCTGAAGCTGCTTTATGGCGATCTGGTGCCCACCTCCGGCATGATCCGCAAGAACTCCCATCTGCGCATCGCCCGCTACCACCAGCATCTGCACGAGCTGCTCGATTTGGACGCCAGTCCGCTGGAGTATATGATGCGCGCCTTCCCCGACGTCAAGGAGAAGGAGGAAATGCGCAAGATCATTGGTCGCTACGGCCTCACTGGTCGCCAGCAGGTCTGTCCCATCCGTCAGCTCTCCGATGGCCAGCGGTGTCGCGTGGTGTTCGCCTGGCTGGCCTGGCAGGTGCCCCATCTTCTGCTACTTGACGAACCTACCAATCACTTGGACATGGAGACTATCGATGCGCTCGCAGATGCAATCAACGATTTCGATGGCGGCATGGTGCTAGTTAGTCACGATTTCCGTCTGATTAATCAGGTAAGCGTTCTACTTTTGTTTACTTTTCCCCTTGGGAATAAACCAAACCGTGTATTTTAATAGAGAAAGATCGTTAATCGTTGTTTTTTTCGTTTTCAGGTAGCTGAGGAGATTTGGGTGTGCGAAAAGGAGACGGTGACCAAGTGGAAGGGCGGAATTCTGGACTACAAGGATCATCTGAAGAACAAGATCACATCCGAGAACGAGAAGAAGGCCAAGGCGGGAAAGTAGATCATATCCGATAGGTACCCCAGATCTAGTGGATAGACCACCAACGGCCACACACCCGCACACACACAGTCGGTCACCCAAAACACCCAAACACAACACACATCTCCCAAACCACAAGGACATTCAGATCACTATCCTTTCTCTTCAATAGGCGGCGGGCGACATCCGGCTATTGGGCTGCCCGTTCGCTGCAATCCATTCTGTGCGAAATTAGTTTTGAGTTTACACTACGCTATAGTGAAGTCATGTAAACGGCAATTCGACCGGCAAACCTACCGTCAACAATAAAACTAGAACACCCAAACCAAACCAAACCAATCACAACCATGCATAACACAACCGTTGATAACTCAACAGCAACACACAAATTTTAGCTGAATTTTTTCTTTTTACGTGTCGAATTAAACAAAATAAAAATTATAAATATATACAATTACGAAGTGGACAGACAACAGCAACGTTAGTGACCGGGAACTATAACTTATAAATACAACCAACCAACTACAAAACTGCTTGTGATCTTGCGCTTATATAATTTCGTTTAATTCTTCGCTAGGTTTCATGTAAACATATATATAAAAATATATTTTATTTTTTGTAATTTATTTACGCCTTAATTATATATTTACAAATTAAACAATCTAAACTACAACAACAAAAGTATGTAATTAAAGTTCTTAAGCGAGTCAAACCAAAACGTGTGAGAAACGATGTTAAACTTCCCTCCCAAAACCGAACCGTGATTTTGTTGCCCGCGGATTCGACAAAGACAACGGCGAGTGCTTACCGATTTAATATTCGATTTAAATACAAAGCAAAGTAGATGGAAATGTGTAACAGGCATAGAAAGGATTAATGGGTATTACATGAAACGTACATATATATAATATACATATATGAAAATTTACAAATTACATAAACAAACAGATATTATAGGTTATTTAACAAATTGGAATTGTAAACTCCAGCGAAAAACAAAACGTTTTGTAAGCAAACACAAAGAAATCACGAAACATACAATGCGATGTAGAAATCTATGCGATTAGATTCTGAATATCAGTTGTGGCACCCGAAAAGTGTTGCATTAATTAGCTAACTTAATTGAGAAATTGCAAGAAAAAAAACAGAAGTTGCTTGACAAGGTAAATAAACAAATTAAATGACCAAAATATTGCAAATCCCTTGGCATCTTTATTAATGGTTTATAGAACATCTATTGGATTGATTGAAAACAACTTTGTTTGTTAGTCATCTTTATCTCCGCATTATCATTCGCATTCCTTTATTGTACAAATCTCAAGCGTGATCGCTCAAATCCTATTACATTTCAGTGCGTTTCGCACCTGCTCTTTATTGCTGCATTCACCTGCTCTTTCGTTTAATTTTTAATTTTTATGCGTGTAGGCACGTTCAAAGGTTAGTTGGTAGACTTGGTTACACTTAAGCGATAGTTACATGTGCTATTCAGTGGTAATGATCCAGTAGTAAATAATGTACAGTACGATCTTAGGTCTATTTTCTAGTAGCTCCTGGCCAGTTCCGCGTGCATCGCCGTCAGTAGCTGCCTTTCCATGCCGCTCAAAGATCCGAATTCAGCTGCAAAATCGCGCAGTAGGTGCTTTAGATCGCACATTTTCCGCTCCACCCAGGCACACGTAATCTCCGCCAGCGCATATTGCTGCTGTTCGGGCACAAATGCTCCCGGACGCTCCGCTGATCCCCCGTCGTCCGCCGAGCACGGACTAGACTCAAACTGTGCCAGATTGTAGTAGTACTCGATCAGCTTGATGTGGGCAGGTGACTGGCGTGCGGGAGGCAGGTTCAAATGGACTAGGAGCAGTAGACGCAGTACCTCCACGCGCCGCAATAGTTCACCGTACATGCGAGCACCGCGTCGCTCGTAAACATTATCCACAATGTCGTCGTAGTGCTGCAGAGCACTGCGGAAATCGCCGCGCTGGCCACTCGTCTCGGCGCTGATTTCCAGGTCGTGGATCTGATGGGTGGGCGAGGCGAAGCTGCTGGTGCTGTCCAGCTGGCGCTGAAGCTGCTTTAACTCCCGCAGAATGGCCGCCTTGAAGACGCAACCGTCCACCGCCCGATCCGCCGCACGGTGATAGCAGTGGAGCGCTCCCTCCCGAAATCCCGAGTGGCGGGTGCGCAGATGTAGCTGCCCGGATTCGTTGTGCGCCGCCAGAAAAGATCTCGCTGCCCGCAGATAGGCCTCCGATTCGCGCTGCGGTGCGCCGCCGTAGGACTCGCACTTCGCATACCCAATGTGGCACATGGCCGCGTACTGCTGGATGCCCGACTCCTCGAAGCTGTAGGCAAGTCGCTGGAAGTCTGCCTGCACATCGACCACGCTGGGCGCAAAGCGTCTTGAATTAGAGAAGCAATGGAGCATTGAGATCGGATTTAATGATTCCTAATATGGCTTGATTTCTTAAGCATTTCAGATATATTGCTTTTCTTTATTAATGTCATACAAATTCAGTTTGAAACCAATTCAGAGCTTTTGGATTAATATTAAAAGGTGGACTTAAAGACTTGCTAATAATGAAACGTAATGAATGGAACTGCAGCGTACCCATACAATTACGAATGTATCTGATTGCCCCGGGTATTTGTTTGTACCATATTTAGCCGTAGCTACTCACTTGAAGAAGCCGGCTCGCTCGAACTTCTTGATCTTGCTGGAGGCCCTAAGATATTGCTCGATCAGATTTTTGGGGTACTGATACTGCTCCAGTTGCTGTTGCTCTTGACCCGGAGTCGTCGATCCCGCGCCGCTGGAGGATCCACCGCCGACCAGAGAGCCGCCGCGGAGTTTATCCATGCTACAGCTAGTGGTTCACCGCGCAGGTTCTTTGGGATCACGTTATTTGTGCATTATTTTCGGCTATATTGTGTTATTATTATTATTTAAGGAAACTTTATCATGGGCGGTGTGACCATGCCATAGACCGCTGAGGAATATACTAGTTAAGAAGCGGTATTTAAATATCTATTTACACTGCTCAACAGCACTGAAAATGCATCAAAACAGTACGCAAATCGCAGCCAAGCCGCATTTAAGACGCAACAAAGCTCGTTACCTGGTCTTTGGCAGCGCATGCTTATAAACTAGTACCTTTTTATTATTGTTTGATCAAATATATACCCAAATAAAAATGTAATGATTTAATTTCGATTGCAAGAAAACTGAAACCATAAACAGTTAGTGGAAACAGGCTGAACTCTTGTAGACCAGTATAATTCGGTATTTTTGCGCAAAGCTTTGTTAGCTTTTTCTAAAGGTCACGCTGCGGTCACACCAGATACAGCAAATTTTGTTTCTCGGTTATTTGCAGCACTTTTGGCATTTAATTGGATAAAAACAAGCCGCAAAGCCTGAATATCGCAAAAAACGCTAAATACCAAAGAAGCGAAACAAGATGGCAATTGCCGAGCACGATAACGTCTTCATATTTGTGCCAAATCTGATCGGTGAGTACTGTTTGGGGTTTTTATTCCGCGCTCCAGCTAGGTAAACAAATCGCATGTTCGATTTACGCGGCGCAATAATAGCGATTATAGTGTCTCCTAATTGGATTAATAGGAGCTGTTTGGCAACCTGTGCAATGCAGGGCGCAAGTTCACCGATAAGAGCAGCGTTGTTCACCCAATTGAGTAACCCCCGATGATTCCGCAGCAAAAACCATATACAAATATGAGGCACGAATCTGCGATGATTTATATTGATCTTTTCCAGGCTACGCCCGCATAGTTCTGGCCCTGATCGCCTTCTGGTTCATGTCCACCAACTATGTGATCTCCGGCTGGTGTTATGTAACCTCCGCCCTCCTGGACGCCGTCGATGGACACGCCGCCCGAGCCTTTAACCAAAGTAAGTATTACCCATGCGCCCTCGATATCTGAATAATAGCCGCTAGCAGCTGTATCTGATTTGTGCGCGCACTTTGGCCGCTAACGCATCGCAAACACCTGTCTCCGCACTGGTTATCTGCAGATATTTTGCAATTGTAGGCACGCCCTGGAGAGCCCGATACGCTCACGGCTGGATAGCCAATCGATGGATGACGTGAATAGAATAGAATAGACAGAAAGCAGGGCTAATATTGCCTTGGAACTATGGAATGTAGTTAGCAATATGGGGAGAAACGTTAAGAAGCCTTCTAAGAAGCAAATGCCATATAAATACCTTTCCGGTGTAACAAACTGATAGTGTTGAGGTTTATAAAGGAATAATATTGTAGATAAATGTTATATTATTTTATATATCTTCTATAAGGATGATTTAGAGTCTTTCCAAAAGTATATTCCAACGAAAATATAGCGTTAAGTTAGGAATTATTATATTAATTTATGGAATCTTTACTAAATACTTATTTGCCTCGCAGGCACTCGTTTTGGCGCCATGTTGGACCAGTTGACCGATCGCTGCGGCACCACCGGCCTACTGGTCACTCTGGCCTACTTCTATCCCCGGTACATGTTCTGGTTCCAGTTGTCCATCGCCATCGACGTGGCCTGTCATTGGCTCTTCATGCAGACGTAAGTGGCGGGATGGGCAGGATGCAGGATGTCTGAACTGTCAAGGACTCCAAACTAATGGCTAATGCCTATGTCTTTTCGCAGGAGCGTTGTGGTCGGACGCAGCTCGCACAAGGTGAATGACAACTTCATAATGCGATTGTACTACCAGAAGGACATACTCACATTCATGTGCTGCGTCAACGAGCTGTTCTACGTGTGCTTATACCTATTGCATTTCACCTATGGCCCACTGAGTGAGTATACACACACAGACACACGTAGAATGCCAGCTAGCGAAACTTGTCTAAGCCGTTTGTACTCTTCAATTGCAGTATTCGGCGCTTCGCTCTTCAAGATACTCGCCTTCCTCACGGGTCCCTTTGCCGTGCTCAAGGCCCTGATCTCGGTGATGCACGCCTATGTGGCGGGCATCGATCTGGCGGCCGTGGATGTGCGCGAGCGGCAGGAGAAGCGCCAGAAATCGGAGCCGGTGAGCGGCAAGAAACTGGAGTGAATGGGATGCGATCCATGCGATCTTCCAGCGCCAGTTCTACCAACTAAAAGTACTAAACGAGACAACTCTTGATTCCAATTTAAAACAGAACTTTGAAGACGAATTGCGATCAGATGAAATATGGGCATTAGGCAAACAAATAGGCCGTAGTAAGGATTTAATTATTTTTTAATGCGCTATTGCAAAGATTGTTGATTTTATTTTATATATTTTAGTTAGACGGGTGGTGAAATCACCCGACACTTTGTATTTAATAGATTTTTTTAATTGAAATTCAAGCGATTCGTTCCAGTCAGTAGCTGTTGCATATTTATTTTGCCTTTAGTTAGCGTAATTTACGACGCATATACGCTATATATATATATACTGATGTGTATGTATATATATATATATATATATATTGCATACATGCAGGCCGATATATGAATGAGTGTCTATTTCCAGGATTTATCTCATTGTGCACGTTTTGGGTTTGACTAACCACCTTCTCCCAGAAACTCTCTCAATGTAACTAATGTATTTCTAATCGTAAGTTATAAGAATGTAATTGGAGACCTGCATGAAATATACGACAAATGGATGTTATAGATGTATTTGAAACCATACATGCCATGCCTGGCAGACTTAGTCAAAATTGAAAAGTGAAAATAAATATATGTGGTTTTATGTGCTAAATTTTGGTTTAACTATTTGGCCCATCAACTTTTGAAATCTGCGCCACATCAAAATTATCGTTTCACATCAAATTACTGTTGCGGCATCCCTGGCTGGCCGCTCAGCTGCGCCGCCTGTGCAGCCCTGATTTTTACACAACATAAACATTTGATTCTGGAGGCACACTTTCCGGGAGAATAACAGGTCGTTGGATACGGGAGATGATCGGATAACGGGCGCATTTGGAGCAGCCAACGTCGGAATCGCCGCCATGAAGATCCTTTCCCGTCTGGGCCGCCTGATGCGGTACACGGTGGCCTATGCGGCCATCACACACTGCACGTTCGAGTACATCGGCGATTTCGTCCTGGTAAGCAAGACTAAGATATAGTTGCTGGGTGGGTACACTTGCCTTACACGTTCCCAGCTTTACATAATCCATGTGAATGCATTAGGGTACTTTCTATACACATCATACGGCAGTGTTTCCACTCAATTGTGTTACTTGGGTACTTCCACTTGATTTGCTTCCAAAGAAAAGAAGCAAAGTGCACTTTCATTAATGTAACCACTTCCAGTGTAAAGGACCCTCCATGGAACCCACTCTCCACTCGGACAACGTCCTGATCACCGAGCGCTTGTCAAAGCACTGGCGAAGTTACCAGCCCGGCGACATAGTCATCGCCATATCGCCCATAAATGCCGACCAGTTCATCTGTAAGCGTATCGTGGCCGTTTCCGGTGCTCAGGTGCTCACCCAGAAGCCCATTCCCTTGGAGGCGGAGTATAGCGGTAGTTCGGATAACAAGAAGAAGCCCGTGATGGTCAAGGAGTATGTGCCGCGCGGATACGTTTGGATCGAGGGCGACAACAAGGGCAACAGCTCGGACTCCCGCTACTACGGACCTATTCCCGTGGGCCTCATCCGGAGCCGCGTGCTCTGTCGCATCTGGCCGATATCCGAGGCCATGACGAGTCTTTGATTGATTTGATCCAGTTGAATGGCCTATGTTTTGTTTGGAAATTCTAGTAGATCAAATAACATTTTTTAGAACCATTTCGTATGCGCGTTTCGTCTCATTGAAAATAAACTAAGAAAACAGTTGATAAACTGCCAAAAACATGTTATTCATACCTTTATTTACACTCGAACACTAGGGATTTATCCCATTCTTAAACTCCATGCAACTTTCATGTTATTTAATACAGTATAATCGAATTGAAAAAAAATCGGAAGATTAGAATAACTTTTTTAAATTGTTTCTAATTTTTTCATTTTGGTTCTTATTTTTAGGTTTTTAATCTAAGTCCCTATTTCCATATTCATCACAGTTGCTTTGACTTTTTGAATACAAAAGTATTATTTAATAATGGAAATAAATAAATCATTTACTATACTTTTTCGAACTCTGCGCATTTTATGCTTATTTTAAACTCACTATATATACTTTCATTCGCCAATAAACTTTTCGTTTCCTTTAAAAATCTGTAAAAATATAAAGTTTACGTCTTAAGTTCTAGGCGGCTTACCTCCTAAAGAAATATTTACCATCATTTTCAAAATTATATTCTCAAAGTATTGACGTTTATAAATGGTATCCAAAAAAATTTTGTGTAGGGTGTGTGAGCTTTAATTGATGTATGCATATAAAAAAAAGTATTTAATTGCTAATTGAATATTTCAATGTGCACTTGTGCTGCTGCCAGCTTTTGGATGAAACGGCTTAATAGAAATTGCACTAAGGATTTGGCCATTGCACCGACAAGTGTCACAAATTCTTTTGATCCTGCTGCTCCCGCTCCACGTAATACAGGTTGTATTTCTTCTTCAGCACCTGGTGCACATCGTCGCGACAGGTTAGGGTCAGGCCGCGATTCTGGTAGTCCAGAAAGGTGCAGACAAACTGCCTGTTCGTCTCGTGGACCTGCGGATGCTTCAGATAATCCTCGATGGGCATCCACTGGAGGCGCTCTATCTCCCGTTCGCAGCGCTTGAAGTTCAAATTCAGGGGCTTCAGGGCTATGACCACGTACATGTCCGAGCATCCGAAGGTGCCGCCATGGGCATGCCGCAGAGTGACCACTGACCGAAACTCGGTGCGAATTCCCGTCTCCTCGGCCACCTCGCGTATCGCCGCGTCGATGAGATTCTCCCGCGGCTCCACATAGCCGCCGGGCAGCTTCCAGCTGTTCGGTATCATCGCATACCGATCGGACACCACCAGCACCTCATTCTGATCGTTAATTACCAGTCCGCCGACGCCCATCAGCGTGTGGGCGTAGGTTGGCAGGTTGCTGGACTCGTTATCCGGCAGCCAGCGGTACATGACCACCACTCCGGTCTTGGCATGGTGGAAATCAAAGCCGTTCTCCGCCAGAATGGGCACCCAATCGGCCTGCTCCTTGTACACACGGAACCAAATAGCCCGGTTCTTGTTTGTCGTCCAAAAGTTCAGGGATTCTAAAAGGTATTTTATTATTAAAACAACGCTTTGTAACAGATCTAATCTAGTCAGCTAACTTTTAAATTGATAAAAATGGACAGAATATAGATTTGAATTTTAATTTAGTACCCTTATTTTAGATAGATAAGCTTTTAATCAACTTTTGATAGCAAGTAGACTTATTCACAATGATACAAAAATATACTTGCAGGCAAAGATACCTATATGTAATCTTACTTGTCAGTTTGTCCCGGAAACTGGATTTGTCCACGTTCTCTTCGCGCCCATCGACTGTGACTCCGGCAAATCGATCCGTAATCCCGCGGAAGATATCCGCCGGTGTGTCCATGGCTTTGGAGCTGTATCAAGGAATACAAGAAGTTGTAAGTCATGTGCTAAATCCATTTATCTTCCAATACTTACGATGAGTATACTCTTGTAAATTGCAGCTGTGACTGAACCTTTAGTGGGACTCTGGCGGCAATCGTGGATGTGGCTCGGTTTCTAGCGGTCCGGAAGAGTGTGCTCCATGAAGTGAACGCCGGCTGGTTAAGTACGGTTCTGCGAGTCAGAAAACCGGTGGCCAACATTAAATACTATCGCAGTTCGACGAAAACGACGTTGTTGATGACGCAGTAGCTCGCAACCGGAGATCTTCGAGCTGTCCCTCAATGGGCGTGGCGAAGGCGACAACGGCGGCTATATCGTCTAAGTTTATCCACACTGCGGGGTGAAGCCAATTCCTGGGCATGCTGTGTGTGAAACAGACAGGTGAAACAGGTGAGAAAGCCGCATGGCTCCAAACATTGATGCAAATCGTACGCGATAGGCGGAACAGAGCGAACTGGAGGCGCAGGTAGCCACTATCTCCCGCCGGCGATAGATAAGGGATATGACTGCTGTTACGTTCGGATTTCTGTTCTTGGCATTTCGAATTTGGCGCTAACGTCAGTAATAAATATGGGTGATAGAGATGAGCAGAACAGTATGACATTGACAGAACATTTTTCGGTGACATGAGTATAGTAAAACTAAAACATATGTTCAATGGTAAACTAAAGTGATCACCATATATATCCATTGAGCGCCCATAAATAACGAGCATTAGAAACTGTAACTGCAGCCTTCTGTTAAAAAATATTAATATTAATAACATAGTTCTGGTTATTCCGTGAAACTGTGATTTGTCGCGATCGCAATCACGAGAGCAGTCACTGCTTCCTGCTCATCTCTAGCTCAACCTTGAGCGGCAACCTTAGGTGCGTGTGGGTGGTGGGTGGTGGTGTTGTGTGGTCGTTTCAATTGTTTCCGCATGGGTATTTGTGTATGTTTATCAGCTGAGTGGCTGCTGTTATCAACGCGCCAGACAATTTATACGCGTTTTACATAACAAACAAAGCCAAACATAATTTTTTCCATATCTGTGCTAGAATACAACTGTTTGGAACTCGAACTCACTAGGAAAGCCACTGGCGAATGGTGTCACTGAGCCAATTCGTCCAGTTCCAGACGACTAATTACCGATCCGATGCGATCCAATCCAATCCAGCCATGGACTTTGGCATAAGCAAGCGAATAAAGCAGCGCGCGATTTCAATTCGCTTCCACTTCCACCAGCACGTTGATTTCTAGGGATGGGAGCTGAAAGTTAATCAGCTGATCCGGCAGTGCTGCCAGCTTGCTAGAAAAGACAGTTTAGCTTTATTTGTAATAGTTGCAAAATAAATATGAGCAAACCAACAAAATACTCGTAAAAACCTCTAGATAGATGGCTTCAGACGCACTTTATTGTAAGTTTGATATGTGTAGCGTGTGGTTTGGTTTTAATATCGTATCTTTCCTTCCTTAACACAACTTCTCGTAGGCTTCGTTGCGTTGCATGCCCTGATCCTGATCTATTTCCACGTCCTGGATCTGGATTCCGTTTCTGCAGAAGGAGCAGTCGCTCTCGATGGAGCTGATGCTGCAGCATTCGCAGTAGCTGTTGCTGTTGCTGTCTATTTTGCTGTTGCTGTTGCTATTCTTGTCGCTGTTGCTATTGCTGTCCTTGTCGCGGCTGCTATCCCTGTTGCAGTTGCTGTTGCTGTTGGTGTTGCTGTCCTTGTCGCTGTTGTTGTCCTTGTGGTGTTTGCTGTCCTCGCCGCTGTTGCTATCCTTGTCGCTGCTGCTGTCCTTGTCCCTGACACTATCACTGTCGCTGTTGCTGTTAGTGTAACTGTTAAAGCTACTGTTTGAGCTAATGTTGGTGCTACTGTTACTTCTATTGCTCCTGTTACTATTGCTGTTACTGTTACTGTTATTGTTACTGTTACTGTTACTGTTACTGCTATTGTTTTTTTTATGAGCACAATATCGGGGGCACAACTGCTTGCAAAAGGGGTGACCCAAGGCCTTGCGAGCGGAGGCGCGGAGCTGAGGATTGGTGTTCAGCATGGGCGTGAGAAAGGCCACGAATGCCTTGGCATCGCTATGCGACCATCCATGCTCGTTGACCAGGACAGTGGACAGTTTACGGGTCTTCAAGATGGGGATATGGCATAGTTGGCCGGTGCTCCTGAAGAAATTTGACGAGTATATGCCCTTCTTGACCAGATCGTTGGGCACGATGCCGCAGGTCTCCACGATCCTGGCTATGTGTGCCTCATCCAAATTGTACTTGCCCCGCTTCGAATGGGTATCAAATAGATAGGTCCCGGTGCCCAGCTCCCATAACAGACAGGCCACGCTCCAGATGTCGGCGGTCTCTGTGTATCCCGCACCGAGGATCACCTCCAGGGCACGGTACTCACGGGTCTGGATGTCATCGTTGTAGTGGTGATCGAACCAACAGCTATTGCCCAAGTCGGCTATCTTCACCATTACCTCGCATTCCTCGGTGGCCGGGTCCTTGGGGTTAAGTTTGCTCAAGCTGGGCTCGCTTATCGGTAGGCCACAGGATTCAGTCTTTGAAAAGTCAAAATGAAATGGAATTAGTATATCATAGAGAATCTCAAAGGAAAACCCAACATATTCCAATTAAAATTCTGATTAGCAGAGCCTTGAAATCGCTCATAAGGACGCCAAAAAGTAGACTACAAAATATTTAGCTGCAATAGAGATTTTATCCCATAATTTAAGCTAGGCCTATTAAAATTGGAGTGTCGGTAGCAGGGAACAGGGAAATCACAGTTTCAAATGGGATAAATACCAAATGTGAAACTTGCGATGCAGATCTCGATCGGCAGCTCGATTTCTTCTTATTGTGGCCACGTCCACTGGACTGCGAAAACCGCCTCCTATGCTGGGTGCTGCGCTCCTTCTCATCCGATTGCACGACCTTGTACATCACGTATCGCATGAAATATGCCGGATTCTTTAGCAGCATGTCCACGTTATTGCATTCCGAGTCCAGAAACTCTTCGTCGTCATTGTTGTTGTTGTTGTTGTTGTCCCGCTCCACATTTGGATGAGTGGCTGGCACATCGCCCACCTGCTCGACCGGCGCCAAGTTCTGCACAGTGGCCACCTCGTCATCGTTGAGTATCTTCAGCCCGTCGAAGCCGAAGGGCAAGAAGGGCAGCTTATCGGTGACGGCCTTGGAGGCCATGAGTGGCGAGAGGAGGCCTCGTTCGGACAGACGCAGTAGATCCTGGATGCCCTGCATGCGGAGCAAGCGGCGATGACTCTTGAAGAACGATATTACTTTCTTGGTCCTCGCACGCATCCGTCTCTTGGCCGACTTGGTCTTCTTGGACCTGTCGGGAGAGGCAACGCCCTCGTTGGCACGTGGCGGGATGTGTCTGCGGAAGGATCTCGGCTGGTAAACCATATTGCATACCCAGGTTATACTCTACATACCCCGTTCTTTGCCGCTCCTCGTGGACCTTTAAATACTTGTCAATTGCTTGGCTGACCTGGGCCCGAATGGTGACATCGTTGGCCACCAGGAGCACGTTCTCCGGCTTCAGGTCGGTGTGTATGATGCGGCACTTGTTGTGCAAAAAGTACAGGCCCGTGAGGATCTGCCGGGCTATCTGTTTGATGTTGCAGAGGGGCAATCCCTTGTATGCGGTCCTCTCGATGACGCTCAACAGATTGTCACCGAGGACCTCGAACACCAGGCACGTGTGTGTGCCGTTCGGTCCGGTGATATGAAAGTGATCGTAGAAGCCGACCAGCTTGCATCTGTACTTATGGCTCTCATACTTGTCGATGGCGGAAAAGAGCTTGATCTCATCGCAAGCGGTTTCCGTGTACTCCAGCGCCGACTTGATCACCTTGACGGCACAGTACCGCTTCATCCTGCAATCGTAGCACAGCCACACGGTGGAGAAGTGACCCCAGCCCAGCTTTTTGATGACATGATAGCGGCTCGCGAAGACATCGCCAATGGACACCGGATGATAGCCACCATACACATAGTCGTCGGCGCACTCTTCCCGTTCGTATCCATTACTACCATCGTCGTCGCAATACAAATTGCCCTGGGAGGAGTCTCCATTGGTCTGCTCTTCCACTTCGTTCGACTTGGTGGATGCCCTGCCAGGACTCTGATCGCCGGAGTGCTCAATTCTAGCGCTACTTCGCTCGCTTTTGTTATCGCAAAGACGATCCACCTCCGCCAACTGGGCTCTTATATCCTCGTGGAGCTGATCGCACTCGGACAGCGATGGCATTCGCGCTATCCGCCTCAGGTTGGGCATTTTGTTACGCGACTTCTTGTTGGACGCGCCTGTCATCTGGCCACAAGGTTCGGCCATGCCTTCGCCGGGCTCCTGGCTTTCGGATGGCTCTTGCTCCGGCTCATTCGATTTGGAATGGTTCGTGTTTAGTGTGTCTGTCACCTCCTTCGACCATTGCTGGTCCATGTCCTCGTAGGGCACCTGTTCCATGGAATGGGATCGCTTTCGGTACCCAAATTCCATCTGACCTTTAAGTGCTTTCGCACATGGCTGCTCCATATTCTCGTGCAGCTTTCGAGCCTCCGAAGGGGATGGCTGTTTCACATTATTTGAGGTGTTAGCCATTCCACCTTGATTTAGTGCTTCCGCCATCTTGTGCTCCTTATCATTGCGGACATCCCTATTCTTGGAGTGTCCTGCTTTGCGTTTAATTACTTTCGGTAGCTTGAACTGCTTCATGATTGCTCCTTAAGAAATGATTCATGAAGTGTTTATGTCCTCATTGGTTTTTCTCGGTGGGAAAATTTTCAATTCGAATGTGTGTATGTGGTACAGAGCACCAAGTATCTGTATCTTTTTCACTTGAATATTATAAACCAAATATGTAAAATGTGGAAGGAAAGCAACGAATTGGGATATTCAACCGTCTCCGATTAACTAAACCGAATCGATGGGGCTGACCGACGATATTGTCTGATTTTATTCGCAGAGCTTACTTTCCTGAAGTAGAAAGAAAATCTGCAACCGAAAATTTCGTTTGGATTTCGAGAGGTGTGTGTGTGTGTTTGCTTAAATTTGAAACTTACGTTTAAAACTAATTGTTTCTTGGGTAAAAATTGTTCTGCTTGGCTTTTCTACAAAATAGGTAAAAACGTTGCAAAAACTCTTTTTCAACTGGAAAAGCAAATTTTCTTGAATTTTCACTTTTGTACAATTTGTTCTAGTTCGTATTTTTATAATCGTCGGAGATGTTTTCATGGTGCTGCCCAAATGATCTCTGACCGACTACCTAATCCGTAACTCCAACATTCCTAATTAAATTTTCAAAGCCCACATTGATTGAACACAATTCCGAAATCGCACACATTTTGACAAACATTTTCTAAGCAGGCGCACACTTTCAAACTGAATCTGAATTGTATATTCTAGGATAGCAAATGCAAAGGTAACTCTACTGCACAAATAGAGTGTTTGTTTAATGGCACAAGGAAATACAAGGAAATATAGTTATATTATATACTATATATTATAAATAAAAACATCGATTTAATACGAAGCGAAGTCGCTTGAAAGCGCATTTTTATATACAACTGGACATAATCTTTGGCTGTGCGCCCAGTTTGGCCCATTTCTCTCCTTTCATTGTATTTGATTTGGTTTTTTCCAAATCGAAATAGTTGTGCAATTGAGGGCGAATCCTTTGTGCGAGTCCAGTGATTTGGAAAGGGCTATTTAGAGCAACAAAGCGCCAGCAGCCGGGATTCCCGGTGAATCAGGAACCAGTTAGCAGTTTAGAGCGCGATTGAAGGGATTATAAGGGATAAAGGATAAAGGATCGTAAATGTGTCGCGAAATGCACATTTCACCAGGAGTCACCATGGGGGATGTCCTTGTGACATCAACTCAGGTGCTTCAGTTGCGCAACAATGGTTCTCATTGAGTTTCGGCTGATGTTTGTATTTTGATTGCCGGCTTAGCAATTTTCCATTTTTTTTGTTTTTTTCGGGGAGAAACTCCCAAAAATATAGAAGTGTTTCCAAAAAACACACGAATAAAAAGTAACCCCCCTCCAGCGGGCGAATTGCGGATATTTGCTCAGTTGTTTAAACAAATTTTCCGCTTAGGGTTGCTAACCGACCTCCTGTTTGCACACAATGGATTTCCATGCCGTGGCTTAAGTGAAAATGCCATGTCAAATATTTATTAAAAAATCTATGACTGGTTGGGGACACGTACATATACGAGTGTATCTATTTTCCACCGCCAGATTATCGAAAACTTCAACTTCAACGTCGAACTTGGTAGAAAATCGGGGTTATTAGGTTCCCAGGCGCGATCTTCGTCAACCCTTTTCCTTTGTATTTCCTTCAGTATTTTGCGTGCACCCGGAAAATTCTTGTTTGTAATTAGGGAGTTTTCCTTATCATTTCTCCCAATGCCCTCGGCATTCAACATTGTTTCTCCGCCAAGCCAATTAAGCGTAATTTCAAGTGTCCCGTTCTCGTATTTGTCCAATGCCATTCGAAAAACTCCAAAGAAAACTGGTTGGCTTTGCTAACGAACTGTTTTTATTCAGACAATGGTTGGGAAATTGAAATAAATTAACGTCGATTTTTACCGTTTAGAGTCGGTGGGTGTGCCTTTGCCAGCTGAAGGGATCAAGTTTTTTTCACTGTGCATAAGCTTTATTTAAATGAGTAAACGAGTAATGAGCAGTAACAAGTCTTTTTTTGTGATTTTTTTCTGGAGGCGTGACAAGCGGAAAATTAACTATTATTAAGCCATTTTCACGCCCCTTTCAGCCAGCGCATTTTCACAATACTGTGTAATCATATAAACTCAACTGGTAATTATTTTAAATATTTCGGAAAATAGTTTGCCATTTTTGTTATTTTTTTCTTCTTTGTCTAGCTAACTTTAAATTATACGCGCTAATCCTCAATAGAAATGTTTATTTCTGGTGTCTCACAAACTTCGTAAAGCACTTTTCCATCTCTCGTCATTTCGAAAAGGTCCTGAACCCATTTGGGTGCCCATCGACGTGATCCCAAGTAGCTAACAACGTAATGAAAATCCGCTGTGGGACACTGGATGGCTGCGGGGATGTTTTCTTAATTAATTTTCCGTGTTTTCCCCCGGGCTGGAAAGGGCCAGCAGCATCCGAGGGGTCGAAAGGTCAGGAGAAGGGTCAATCGCGGATCGCCGGATGCTGCGAAGGGGTTGCGCCGATGCGCCGATGGGAATGCCCTAATCCAATTACCGCGATTGACCGCGATTTACATTTCAAAAAGTGTGTGTTGTGTTCAGCGTCTATGAAAAATGATTCTAAAAAACATAATTAAATGCAACACATGCATATTAAAGTTTACTCATGCAATGCAACGCAAAAGTTAATGTACTTGCTAAATGGAGAATGTACCTTCACTACATTTGAATATACAACTAGTTATAATATACGTATGCAATATCAAGTTCAAGTTCTGTTCGATCGATCCCCGGAGTGTCAGGATCTCGTCTTCCTCGCGGGGAATCACAAACAGATGGAGACGCAGACAGCTGTCCTTTGGGTGTTGCCTCCGCCGGAGATTTTTCACTTTTCCATTGTTGCGTCGCTTCCTTGTTGTCAATGTGCAGTTACGTACATACGTACATTGCCGACTTGTCCCCGTTTTCCACTTTTTTTTTGTTATTTGGGTTTTTTTTTTTTTTTCAACTTCTTCCCTTCAGTCCCCCGATTTTCTATTCATCAGATATTTGATTTTTTCTCTTTTCGCCAGAGTGTGGCATGTGCCGCTCCATTGTGTGCCAATTGGCAGAGCAGCTGCTCCTCTGCCTTTGTTTGTCCCTCGAGTCCTTGCCAAATGCGCCAATTACGCTGCTCATTATCTTCCAACTTGGCGAAGGAATTGGCTGCGGATCGGGATCACTACTACTCAGCTGCCGGGCTTTGTCAGTTATGAGCTTCGCGTTGACTTGGAGTCCTTGCAGTCCTTGGAGCTCCTTCTCCTACATGCCTAAACCAATGTCGAAAGAGAGGTAATTAGATAATTGTATAGATTCCTAAGTACACAAACTCACATCAGATTCAGGTTTTAATGGACAATGCTTTACTGCGATGATTTTCCATTACTATAGCTACTAAGCATTTCAAAAAACTCCCAGCCAATTCAACGCACAAATCGTTGTGGGAATCTGGTGGGCTGCGATCATTCATCACGCCATTCAGCGGATGTAGCAGGATATGTGGCAGGATATGTCGCAGGATATGACGCTGCGAAAAGTGTCCAGCGATCGGCGATCGTTACACAAACCGCATCCTGCGCAGATCCTTTTGGAACAAAGCCCCATTGTGTGGATGCTCCCGATGTCCTGGAAAACGTAACGAATCCACGCATTCCGGCCAGGATGCGCAGCTGTCCGGCGAGACCGTGTGATCGTGTGATCCTGTCGCCGTGTCACCAAAGGACCACAAAGTTCGCGCCCATGTCGCGGCCGCTGTAATCCTTTGACTGTCACAAAGCCAAAACAAACATCGCCATCCGTCCGTCCGGCGAACCGAGTGACCTCTTCATTACACGGCGACAATCTTGGCGGGTCACCGTAACAAATGCAAATAAAGGGGCGGTTCAGCGGATCGGAAAATTATGCAACACAACGTTGGCAGGATTAGCGCACAGTCTGATTCCTGATTCCTCCTTCCTCATTCCCGATTCCGGTATCCTGATTTCCGATCCAACACAATTCCCATAGCCGTCGAAATTGACCCCTGCGCTCTTGTTTTTATTGCTCCGTGTCGGACAATTGATTACGTGACGTAAATTTGGTGTAAACAGCTTTGGTCAGCTTGGCTACCTGAATGGATGAAGGACCCAGGAATGGAATAGAGTTGTCGGTGGCCCACTGGTGCACTGAACATAAATCAGTGCCCCGTCGCCGTGATATATGGCCCATAATAATTACATCTATGCGAGTGTTTACAGAGCATGCGCGCACTTTAGACTATACCTATTTATTTAAACTATAAAATTCGTGTGTAAAAATGTGTATAGTTGGCAATACAATGGGTTTACTTAAAGTATGATGCTGAATGAGTGCGCAGTGTGTAAGTCACTATTATTTGCAGCTTTTCTATGCTTAGAATCTATTTATCTATGCTTAGAAAAAATCCCCCTTCAAATACAGGCAGCACTCTATGATTTCTAGACGGTACATTGGTTTTCGAAATATTTACTAAGGAATCAGTTATATAATCATAGCACTTTTTGAATCTGAACTCCATTTCGGTAAGCCGCCCTCTCAACCTGGCAGTAAAAACTTTTGTAATTATGCAAGGACCTGGCTTCGCGACTTCCTGGCCAGAAAAAAAAGAAAAACCGTACATGCCACAAATGCATTAGAGCCCACTCGATATGCAAACATATAATTGAAAACTGTCAACGTTTGACAAATTTCCCGTCGTAAAATGCGGCGGGTAACCCGAAATTAACCCCACACACCACGATGTGAAGGGCAGTGCACCAAAGCGATAGAATAAATGTGGAAAAGCGAGCAGGGGCACGCAGTTACAGGAGTCATAAAGTTGCGATCGACAGTCAGAGTCAGGTCCTTGCTGCTCGCTCCTTGATCCTTGGGCCGTGTTAATGTGTTGGGCGCGTGGGTTCCACCGACCTGACGATGGGCGGCTGGTGGTGGTGATGGTGGTGGTGGTGGTTTGCTCCTGGCCAGCGGATTGCAATCCGCAGATATGATCTGGCATATCGTGTAGTTTTGACAGTTTATCATTATTATGCCAGCCCTCATGGGCGGCTGATGTGGTGGCGGTGGTGGGTCCATCCGGTCATTGGTCGGTCATTACATTGTGGGCATTTTGCGTCTTGTATTTAATTGATTTTCTGCACTGGCCGGTTTGGCCCAGTGGCCGGGTTGCGTCATTAGCTCCTCGGGGCTCCAGCTCCTGGTTGAGATGAGCCTGTTGCGATAGCGGCATGATTAATGCATATATAGGAAATACAAGTTTCAGTCACTTACATTTATTTTCAATTTTAAAGGGGTTATGCGAACGCTATTCAAGGACCGAGGCTGCGCTTCGCAATATGAAACCAAGTAATGATACTGAAATTAAATTATATTTTACTTCATAAAGAGCTGATTTTTCTTCACCTATTAGATGGTACTAGTCTGGTATTAGTCTGATATATCTTAAAACATCAATGCACCACGTTTACTATCTGGGAAATAGCCATTTAAGACGCATACACATACACATCTCATATCGATCATGGGACGTAACTCTGCCCCCCGATTTGGCCACTTTCTCACGTCATCCTTTTGAGGTCCTTTGTGTTTCCTTATCGCTGCGCACGACGGGCAAAAAAAAAAATATATACGAGTATATAAGAAATAAAAATTCGCACACTCGGCGCAGAATTGCTATTTGGCAAACAAGGGCACACACATAAATCTCAATCTGTCTGAAAAATGTGAAATCGAAAATGAAATCATTGTGCCGAAATCAAAATTTAACCGCAAATTAGGCAATAAACAATGGCTGAAGCGGTCATGGGTTAATACGTTTAGCATCAGCAGACAACCGCTGGGGTCACAGCCACCTCGATTTCGGATTCCTTGTAAAGGGTTAAGCGGCGCGGGGTTAAGGGTTGCGATCGGCATTTAAAACGTGCGAAAAAAAATGGAGAGAACTCGGCACTCGGCTTGTGCTCCAGTTTTACCTTTCATTATATCAAAAAGAACATCACGCATCGGCACTTTCAAGCGAGATGTGCGCCATTTTCTCATTTTCTCCCCAATCGAAAAATGTTTTCCAAGCTGCCATCTAGCCGATCATTTTATTCAGCCTTTTTGGCAGATAAAATCCGATTATACAGTGAATGTTTAATCAAATTCGACCATGGCCTTGGTGCTCGGCCTCAAAAGTTGTCCTCCTCATAGTCGCCTTCCCAGGACTAGAAGTTGTCGCTATCCTCGGAATCGCTGATGGGCGAGTCGTTACCGTCCCAATCATCCGCTTGATCAAGTTGTGGATGGTACACCGGCTCGGCAAAAGGCAGCAGATCGTAATGGGGCATCAGATCGTGAATGGGCATAAAGTCAAGGACTGGCAGTGTTGGAAGGCCAATGTTAAAGTAAACCATTACTAACCAAAGGTATGCAGATGCATTAAGATTCATTTGGTTCTGATCTAAGTATACGTACCCGGGTAGTTGTACCAAATGTCCAGAATGCGCTCTAGTATCATATTGAATACTAGGTTTTGAATAGATATAAATAAATTATCCAGCTTCTGAAATACATGTTAAGTACATATTAAAATACACATTTATGAATAGCTATAGCAATAGTTTTCATGCTGATGCATTGCATTACACCACACTCACTATGAAATACATACAAATATAAACAAATTCGCTCAAATACAGTACAGTTGAGAAATACAAATTTTTAGGTGTAGGACCGACACAAACCGATGGGTGTTTAGTTAAACAAACATATGGAGGATACCCGTCTAGGTGCTTGACGGAGGGTCGGTGGATGGTAATTTCCCATAATTGGGTCTGGGTCACAATTAGCGACGCCTGGACATGGGTCATCATGCCAATGCTTATAGCCAGTATCTGGCCTGGCTGCCACCGATGGTGGGCACTACGAATGCGAAGAAAAATGGTGAATGGTGAATGGTAAATGGAAAATCCTGCCCCGTGTGCCGCGGGCTAATCAATTACGCAACCTTTAAGAAAAACACGCGAGGGGCCCGATAACTTTTACATTTCATTCACATTCAATTGCAGCACAGACATTCATTTTCGGAACCTGATCACGTTGCTGTCAAATGTTTGACAAACTTCGCCGGGTATGACATGTGATGTGACGGGCTGGGACTCCGGCGAGTCCCCGAAATCCCCGAATTCCTACAGCCCGGACCACAGGGAACCCGGAATTCCGAGGCCCATGTCGGAATCTACATATTGTGATTTGCATTTTCTAACCCTTTTCTCCGGCTAATGACGCTGAAAGTCGCAAGGTCTTCGACGCCTTGCGGTTACAGTGTCATCTCGCTCGCACTTGCAATCCGGCTGCAGTGTCATCTCACTTGCACCCATTTCGGCCGGTGTCATGTGATCTCACTCGCACCCTTGTGCTTTGGCGCAGTAACTCTTCTTCTTGTCGGCCTTCTTTTCTTTTTTTTATTACCAAAATTAATTGCATGCCCCCGATTTCGGCGGATTTTATTTGGGTAATTTTCTTAGCAATTAAATATGCAAATGCGAGCGTGAAACGTGTACCCTGAAGGTCGTTTGTTGGATGTTTTTAAGGTCTCCCAATAAAAACTTACAGAAATCTAGCGAAAGAAAGTCGATTTCGGGAAACTGAAGACATACGTTCATATTTTGGACACTTACATAAAAAAAAATCCTTTGAAGTCTATTTTATACACTTTTTAAATAATCACTTAGATTAGTTAGGCTTTAGAGTTAGACGATTGCGACCGCTTTCACTGACACCCAAGTTGAAAAGAACAAAAGAAATCAGAAATCAAGGTGACTGCACGAGAAAATCTGATCGATTACACAACACTTGACTGAGCTGCCCACTTGACCAAAAGGATGACCCTGCAGATTAATTATGTCATCAGTGCACTATCGCATAACCACACTTATATCGTGATCTACAAGTTCCGAACCCAATTTTAACATGTCTTTTAAAGTTAAATTTGTATTGCAAAATCCATGTTTACTTGTATTAAGCATATGAACAAATGCATATGAGTTCATATAATAATATAATATAATATAATAATATATATACATATATAATATATATATAAAATTTTAACTTATTTTAAATAAAAGTGAACTTTAAGATTACATGCCAATATTGTGATCTATATACTTAACAGAAATACTTAAAGTACTATGTCATCAAATAATAACATATCAAAAAAGTGCAGTGGGTCTTTATTAGATTGTAAAAATGCAAATATTTATAAGATTGCAGGAGTATACCGCATTGAACATTTGCCATAATAAATAATAGTGCAACTGTTAACTATTATTCTATTAATATTACGGTTCTTTGAAATGCCTACAACGCAGTTGAAGCTAACTGTATCTTGGCATTCTAGAACACTGCACTGCGTTGCCACCTGTCGTTTTCCCGAGGTCATTTTGCAACTTTAATGGCCGTAACTTTCTTTCCGGAATGTGCAGCGCTTGCGCGTAGTTTTAGTCCGGGAATGAGCTCCCTTTAAATAAGTCAAGAAATCATAATGGTAGGTCAAGAGAAAAACCCGAACGTAATTACCAAATCAATTGTGTCAAGTGCACGTAACAGAACCTGGGCATTTTATTCCAGGAAAACGACAAAATTCAGCAATATCCGAACGCACGCGTCAATGGAAGTAGCCAGATGCCGGTGCGCGCACGCGATTACCACTTTCCGAACGATCCCGGTCACCATGCCAATCCGTATTTGCCAGTGGTATATTTGCCATTCTACTACATACCACTTTTGCCATGGAGCTCCTTCGCACCTTTTGGCAACACGCTGGGATTTTACCAAAACGGCTGTTGGTACAATACCGAATTAAATCATCGAGCAGCCACGGCTCCACCACCGGCTACTGCTAACCAGCAGGAATTTCTACTAGCCCATGTGGTGTACCTGCAAGCACCACCACAGCAACCACAGATGGTCATCGAAGTCCAGCAAGCACAGACTATTGAATTCATACAGCACGTGCCTCCACCTCCACGTCAACCGACATCAGGCCCACCAAGCCAGCTTGTGACAAACGGTCACCATAGGCCGGTGATCTATGTGATGCCCGCCGAGCAGCCACACTACATTCCTGTACAGAATCCACAATCGCAAACCTCCAATGCGATGCAAAGAGCGTCGGCTCCACCGATTGTATCAGTCCAGGAATCTCCACAACACCATCCGCCACAAAGTGAACTGATTCAAACATATATTCCTGCACCACACATGCATCAAAATGTTAGGGGACCCCAGCAACGACCACCTTCAAAATATTCGACTACACCAAATCCAGCTCCACTGAGAACTGTTCATGCTTCACCCCAGATGCATTTACAAGTCGATGGCGCCCACAAACTACCTTCACAAAATCGTTCTCCACATCATCCAGATCCCTTCATCAATTGTGAGGGGCAATCCGATCCAAACTTCATGGAGATCATGGTGCAGCCCGAGGTTTCAGTAGTCAGAACCGCCAGAAGTGTAATCATTGACGCCAGACCATTGACTTCCGTCCATGAACCCCAAGTTGTCCCAGTTGTCGAGAATCTGCATTATCCCTGCGAGTCTTATGAATCAATAAAGAACCCAAAGTTCAACAAGATCCAAAATGTGAGTACCTATAAATAAAATCATATTTGATGTAGTATATCCTATGCTAATATTATTTGACATGGTTTTTAGCATGTAAAGACAGATCAACCTGCCAATATTGTTGTGAGGGAAAAATTTTGTATACTAAAGCCGGTTGGTCCACCACCAACTGAAGCTTCCAATGTGGTTCCTGTCCAGGAAAATGGTTCAAACCGGATTACGAACTCTGTCGTTGTACAGCAGTATGTTCACCAGCAGGAAAAGCCACAGGAGGAGATTGCTAATAGCTTAGACGAAAGCCAGAAAGAAGAGGCTAGGGAAATGGAACAGCCTGGATCCCCGGAACCAGAGCTAAAGAACATGCAGTCAAAGGTTCAAATCGCTGATACACTACCAGAAGCGAGAGTTAAGGCACCCCTAATCACTGCCCATCCGGAGCCAATTCATCAGGCACATATCTCTAATTCTTTACGGGAGCAGGACCCACAGCCACCGACCACCAGTGCATCCTCCGCTCCCGCGAAACCAACTACGCCGGAAAATAGGAAATGTATACATCTCACTGCGGCGCCTAAAGAAAATGTAAGCCTTAACACCTATCTAATCAATAACAAGGTTTATGTATTTTTATTTTCAGCTCCCGATGCCCCAGAAGTCAGAGGTCATTGAGAACCAGTGGCCCGCATTGGGTAGCCGCTTGCGAAATAAACAGTCTATCAAAAAGGATTTTGTTCAACGGAATACGAGGTTCCCGAAATCAAGAACGGTATATTCATTTAACTCGCATGATAAGCAGACGATAGTCCACCAAGCTAAGGAGGAACATGCATCTGTTTTACTGGAAAATCGCTCTCCTCGATTAGGATCAGTAAATTCATTGAATTCACATCTTAATCAGATGGGGACGAACCAATCTGAAGGCCAGAAAACACCAGTATTCCATTCAAAGTGTATATCAAAGCCCATTGAAAAGCGAGATTGTGCTTTGACACCAAGGAACCAACGTTCAGATGATCAAGTTAAAAGGGAAAACCCGCCAAGCAGCTTGGTGCCTCCAACTTCGCCTCGGGCACCAGCGGCGATTTCCCAACCAAATCCCGTAGTTGTCGAAAAGAGCTCTTCAAAGAACAAAACAGATATTTCTAGACCATTGCAGGAAGATAGGAATGTGGTCAATAATAATACTCTGAAAAGATCAGTGGCTAAAAAACTTCCAGAACACGATGTACATTTGACAAATCTTGGGTCGAACATGTTTGAGCTTCTGGTAGAGCCGGATCCACATTATAAGGAAGACTACAGCGACGGGAACGAGGACGGGATCGGCGACGGGGACACATCAGAGCAAGATTACCCAAAAGCAGACGATGTGCGTCCACCAAAGCCTACCAACTCCAAGAAGGAGAAGCGGCGCCTCAAGAAACAGAACACGGCTCTCAAAAATCAACGCATATGCAGGAAGCAGGCCGAAAAGGAGGCGAAGCGGGCTCAGAAGGCAAAGGAAAGGGCCGAGTTATCAAATAGGGAAAACCCGATGGCTAATCAATGCAACCAACCAACATCAGCTAAAGATACCCAACCCCAACCCCAACCCCAACCCCAACCCCAACCCCAACCCCAACCCCAACCGGGATCCATGCTGGTGCACATTGCCGCTGAAGTCAACCTCTGTTACCAGCTGTCCGACGTGGTGCGAACTTCAACACCTGAACCAGATGCTCCTTCGCCAGCAACTTGTGGCCTTCCAGATGCGAAAAGCAAAGAAGAAACAACCGAATCGCGAAGGAAAAATAAGCCCATCAAGATAAGTTCATTCCTATCGGCGGTGAACTTTGTCTCATTGAAAAGGAAGACCCAAGTTATGAAAAAGCGAAGTCTGTTCAAGCGCAGGCCAAATCAAATTAGGAAACATAAGCAAACCCAAACAAATCCAATACTTCGACTACATATCCAGGCTTCAGATACTGCAAGATCACAAGGGCCAACGTGGAATTCTAATCCACAGCTGCAGCTACAGCCACAGCCCAATGTGGTGGACAAGGATGCTTTCAAACTAAATCGACATCAGATGAGCGCTTCAAAAGCGCTGGCCATCGAGAAACGCAAGCGAATTAGATCGTCCGATGAGGTGGTATCAGGACCAGAAATCTTTGAAGATACAATTCGGAAATGCGGTCAGAGTACTGGCGAAATAATTGACCTGCCACTCCACCTGCATGCCGGAGATGAGAGTAAATACTTATATCCAAATTGTGTGGCATTTAATGAATTATTTTGTATCCCATCCAGAGAACCAGGACGTTGTCCATCGGAATACGCAAGAAAACAGCGGATAGACTGGGTAAAGTATAGATATCGCACGTTTCCCTCACTGCAAGACTTGAGGCGTTATCACATCTTGAAAAGCCATGATCATAGAATGTAGGCAACTCGAAGTTCAAATTAAACTTGTGACCTTTACATCACTAGTCGCTTGCCATTGGACTGATTTAGAATCCTCTATTGAGCAAACCAAGTACTTAACACTTTACACTGACTTTGTAAACTTATATAGATCTCATCTAATAAATTTATATTCATTTGTATACAACTATACTTTAAACTCGTCCAGCTATTATTTTTAAATACCCCCGCTGGTGCAGTAGGTTTAGGATTGGAGAACGTGTGAGTTTCCACAACTGGAATTCGGTAAGATGATGCACCCAACTGTCAACTGCTTTATGATCTCATCCCGTTTTGCCCGACTCCTTCCAGATCTCGACCGCTTTCATCCAAGACGAATGCCGATTGCAATGGTTCTTAGCCCGAGACTTAGCCACAGTTTGAACTAATTAAGTGTCGAAAGGATTACCAACGCCTACCCGTCGTGTGTTGTGATTTACGATTCCAAATACCAACTACCAACTACCTGTGCACCTGGGTGCTACCTGGACAGGGATCCTCATTAGCATGGGACGACGGCACCGGAGGAGGTGGCATCTAATGCGACTGAGTCGTGTGCCAGTCCATTCACAGAGTGGCATTCATTCACAGCGTATGTAGAACTGATAATCTCATCCCATTCTAAGTTCCTAACTCGAAATCCAAATACCCATCCCATTTGGCTTAGCAGTTGCTTTCGTATTGCAGGCGAATCCTGCAATCCATTCGAAATCCTTTCGCCCGTTGCACAATGTGCTTTCGGGATCTGATGCAGCTGCTCCAGCCGAATGGTCGGGTGTGGGTGACATTTGCATCTGGCCTAAGACGACGATCCCTAAGACGCTCTAAGCCAAATGGATGGGCTCATTGTGTTTTGTTTACTGGTTTCTTCCCTCTTTTTTTGTCCATTCAACCAGCTGCTCGTCGCCCGAGATTGACAATTGAAAAATGCACCCATTTCGTGTTGGAAATGTTCTTATCCAAAGCCGAGAATCGAAATGTGCATATTTTAATCATAATCATAATGTGTGATTTAAATATTGATACTAATCGTGTGATACTTTAAGCGATTGAAATCATTAAGATTGTCAATGCGTTCTAGTAATCCGTTTGTATCCTAATATTTACATTCTACATATTTTAAGTCATATTCAATATACCACGGCTTATATATTTGATATTCACATTATTTGAATTGCTTACACAGTTGTCATTAGTCATTAGTTTCCTATTTTCCCATTCCATCGGCACGTTCCTCAGGTGCTGGACTTTCTCCACTCCAATCCACTCCACTTTCCCTCGCCATTGCACCCGAAATATCTTCATTCGCGATGGTCAAACTTGCACTCCGCCTGTCAGCTGCACGTGGGCACGTGGTCACCTCAATTTGGGCCCATCAAACGGGCGACTAACTGCCATAATTGGCCCACTTCAAGTGGCTGGCTATCGCAATTGGATCTGGCTTTTGCTTTTGCTTTTGCTCCTGCTTTTCCGACTGCGTCATGTCACATGTTGTACTATATACATATGTATATGTATATACCAGTATATGGTGGGTTCGAAGAAGGACTCACGCGTATCGATGTCCCTGGTGCCTTGATGATTTGCGACCCTCGAACAATTTATTGCTCAATTTATATTTGCTTAGACTGCCAATAGTTCAATAATTCATAAAAAACATGACAAACGCAAGAAGCTATCGTGTGTCCTGGGAATTTGCATAAACGTGATTTGCATAAGGCAGCTGCCTCCTGGGAGTAGTCATCACCATCACCATCACCATCTCCGACTCCAACTTCAACTCCAACTCCATCCCGATCCTGCCTCCTTGGCAGGGTAAACCGAAGGGCAAAAGGTGTGAGCTCATGTAATGGCACCGAATTTGACTCTACCTGGACTTTCCTTCCATCTTTCAATGGGTCCTTTCATTCCCATTTCCATTTCCATTTCCATAACCATTACCATTAGCATTCCGCTCTGTTGTTGTTTGCCATCCGTTGTTTTGATATGTAAGTTGATATATGATATTTGATTTCTTGGATAGACTTTTGGGTGTCGCCGGGGTCTCAACTTCAATTACGGCAATTGGCAAGCACGTAGCTAGTTAGGCGTAGTCATGGGCTTCCATCTTCTCAGTATTTTTATTTCATTCTTTTAAACAGTTTTTGGAAAACCCTTGGGAGCTAATTTTCTATTTGGTACAAATTTAGTCCCATTGCAAGGTGGACTTGTTTAAATACCAAGCAATCTAGATATTCAAAAAAACTTGTAAGAATTACTATTTGGTCTATAAGAATATAATCCTTATATCATATATCATACTTGCACGCCTACCTTACTGTGGTAATCGTGTTTTGCCAATAAATTGTTAAATATTTATTGATGCAAAATGTAGTTCATTACTGTTTTAGTGTTTTAGTAATACCTATTTATTGTTGCTAATTCTAGCAGTCACAGCTGCCGTTGAGTCGGGAATTCTATGCAAAATAGTCCTGAGCCGGCGACCTTTAGTCGCGCCTGTCAAGTCAGTCCATGTGGCCACATGGCAGGGTGCAGTGCATCGCGGAGCGCTGTAGCGGAACGCACGCCACTGGCTACCTACAGACAGTACCTGTACAGGACGCACCCCCTAAGCCCGACGCAAGTCGCGCACAAAACGGAAGAAAAAAAAGGAAATAAACAGGCGACCTTTGGTGAAGTGCGTTTGTAAATTTGTTTGCCAAATCAGAAGGAAACAGGATGCAAGGATCGCATCACTTGGCATTTGTCACCCTGCAGGGATCACCCTTTTCCCCTATAGATTTTCCTTCTTGCGTTTTTCCCCGCCGAATATCCGCATTTCCTTTCATTAGTGCAACGCGGAAAATTGCAAATGATTCAATTCTAATCCGATGCCGCCGCTTTTCGTCTCATTTAAATTTTTGCGCACTTCAAGTGATTGGAATATCCCACGAATCGGGACTTCTAAAGGGTTAGGCACTGGGACAGGGACTCGACGATTCAAGGACTCACGGATTCAAGGATGATTTTGTCACATCCCCAGAGACTGCTGTCAAGTGATCCGCACTTAATGAAGTAGCAAAAGGATCCCGAAGGGGAAGATCGCAACAAAGATTGCCGAATGGAGATCGTCTGAAGTTTCGCACATGAACTCTGTGCGACGGCAATTGTTACAATAATATTTTCAATGACATGACAGTCCCATAGATTTGCATTAATGATATTCGGCCCGTTGCGTCCCGATGATGATGATGTGCAACATTTGTTCGTCCTGCCCTCTTTTCCATTCCACAAAGGGTTGCTCTTCTTCCCGACCGCGTCTCCTGATGGGTTGCCTTTTTTTTCTTTTCTTTTTGAATTTTTTTAGAAGTGTTGGGTTCCTTGAGGAACCTGGAATATTGGCAATTATGGCAGTCGACCAGGAGGATGATGATGCATGGCGATATTATGCAGAGCATATGCAAAGCAGGGGGAGTCTAATCCAGGTCTAGGAGTCTGGCAAGGAGTCCCTAAGATTGATTATGCTTACTAGGCTGTGCTGAATATTTATGGAACTATCCGCAATCCTCTCGGCTTGGCATTGAGTTTTGATCTTCGGCCGAAAAATTGATTGATTATTTTCGGGGCATTCAGGGATTATATTGAAATTAGGCCGTTTTCATGCAAGGTTCCCACACAGCCTTTTCTATATACATTATTTTAATAATTATCTAAAGTTGCATTCAACCATTACATTTGACATCGAATTTGGCTCAATAAGTTGCTGTACCAGTTATCCATATTCTCTTCTTCAAAAGTAGCTGTATGATATATATATAATACTAATATGTTAAGTAACTTTTAATACGTAACCCTTGTTAATGTTAACATATTTTTAAAATAGTGTAAAACATACTCGTATATACTCTATTCCACTAACTTTAACTGAATTTATAGAGTCTGCCACATTACTCGCACCATGGACTTTCCCATCGATTGGTCTAGATTTTCAGCTGTGACCGCAGGCGCAGGACCTTGACTCGATCCTTGGGACCTGGCCACTTCTCGTGACCTTTACACCTGCCCTTGGCCGAGTGTGCTCGATGATGTGTGGTTTGGCAGCCCAAATGACATGTTATGTGCGGCCTAATTGGACCGAAAAAAGAACGAACAGAACGAGGATGAGGATGAGTCGAAGAGTCAAAGAAGAGCCACGGAATTCAAGGACCTGCAGGAAGCGAAGAAGGCGAAGGACATTGCCCTGGCCAACAGGTGAAGTTCGGTGTTTCGAAGGATACGGCTTGTTAGAACCTCGCTAGAAGCCCTGCACAAAAACACATTTGGCGCCTTCGTGATGTTGCTCTACTCCACCCACATTCCGAATTCGAATACACTTTGAGGAAATTTCGGTCATTTGGTAGATCACATTACAATCTTATACAAGTAAGTCCATGCACATATAATAAATAATCGACTTGCAGATTACACATCTCGCAGATCGGGTGAGCTGTTAGTATCGTTAAAATATTCCGTAAATACAATGATATGATAGATATTTGTATTCCGCAGGAGCAGCACGCCGCTGATGACCAATGCTGGCAGTATTTTTGCCTATTCCAGTGGAGTGGGGCAGCCCGCACAACTGTTATGCGCTAAATGTCCTTTGGGCTGGTGGGCCTCCTGTTTCTGCACATGTTGACACATTCGCACACACGTCGCCGAATGGCGAATGGCGAGTGACGTTGACTTCCTGACAGGACATGCAGGAACCAGGGGAAACTGCTCAGCCGCTCAACCCGCCCTCAGGTTCGCTGGGTCCTTCGGGGTTTCCCGGTTCCTCGGCTGTTTTTGCAACTGTTCAGCCGCCGATCGATCAGATCGCCAGGCGATAATGGAGCAGGCACGTGTGCCTGGCCAGCGGATCTCAAGCGGGCAATGGGATTCGGTGTGGCACTGTGGCAACAAAGTGCGGGTCGAAAGGTGCGTTGGCTATTGTCAATCGGTTCGCTGGTCTGTCCATGTCCGATCCCTCACTATGTACGTATGTACTCGCATGTGTAAACCCCCGATCAGAAAACAGCGATACGACTTTTGTCACTCTGTACAAAATTAAGCGGGTGTTTCCATTTTCGCCACTCGAGAAACGTTTAAATCGCAATTAGAGTTTTGGAGTGTGCCCGCTTTTAATGGGCGATTTTCACAATTTTCTCAATTTCCACAAAATGGGTTTCGAATTGAGTGCAGATCGCTGAATTGCATTGTTCTCCGCCAATGTGTGTCTACAACATCGAATTGTGTAGCACATTTCAATTGATGCTGACACTTTTCATATTTCAATTAGGTGTTTTGGGAAAGTAAAGACATAGTTACACTCAAAAAACCTGATATAAACATGATCAGCTCTAGAATGCATTACCATAAAACTATACTCTTCAAATATATATCTGTTAGAAGCTAATAATCGCAATTAAACCCACACTTGTTAGATATAAAACACCCTGAAAAGGCACTTAATTATTTGTACATTTCCAGATTTTCCCTATCGCTGCCATCGGTTATGGATCTCTGCCCCGTCTAACGCTCCACTCATTACTTGGCAACCATCCGAAACCAACTAACTTCCGGATTTCTAAGGTAAGATACCTTCTGCGCAAGTATCCGTTTCACTTTCAATCAAAACGAAGTTAAAGAAATGCATGTTTAATGACACGTTGCCGTCCAGAGCGGGAAAACTGAGAACTGGACAGTTCGGGAGCGGTCATTAGCCGGAGGGACAAGAACCAGATAACAACAATAATAATAATAATAATAATCGTAATAATGGGCAGGAGACCAAAGCAGGGCATTGTGGAAAACTGAAGAAAAGCGAGAGTCATAAAAAATAAAGTAGCGACAACGGCGTGAACCTTCTTCTACCGATTCTATTCGGGAAATTTCGAAAGTTCAGGACGCGGACGAGGGTTTGACATGGGACCTGCCCTGATTTCGGCGGGTTATCCATATGCATGCGAGTATCAGGGATATCCCCGGGGCGGGCTGCTTGACCGCTCGACCTCGGCTCGGCGATCGGAGCTTGAGTTCTGGAGTTCTGGAGTTCGCCGGGTATCACATAATAAAGTATTTTACTTTGTTTTCCCTGTCACATGGCACAATGTATTCTGCACTGCTGGTCAACCCATCATCTGCATAGGAAAGTTTCACGCTCTACTGAGCATTTGCCATGGGAAGTGGAAATGGATGTGGATGTGCATATGGATATGGGTATGGTTATGGAAGCGGTTCCTTGGCAGACGTGTTAGCGCTTTGGCTTAGCCCACTCCTTTCGTCTCAGGGGTTGGACAAAATGTTATGACAGCTCATTTAACGCCGCGTCTCAGGAGTGGATTGCTGACCCATCGATCGCTTGGCATCCATCTGACCAGTTGGCTAATGAGGCTCGCTGTGGGAGCTGTGGGCATAGTCTGGGTTCCATCTCAGCTGGACGCCTGCCTATCCCTATTTGCTAACGGGTTATGTCTTCTTTTCGTTGGCTACTTTTCCTGCAACCTTTCAACCTTCTACTAATCTTCTGCCTATAGCTTGAAAGTTTACTAAATGACTTGTCTTGGCTCTGCGGGTTTCCGCCTACTAGACCATTTGTATACATACAAGATCCTTAAGATCTAAACCTGTTTTTGTGAGAACTTGTGGCACAATAATTAGCTATACCAAAATGTATGTATTTGTTATTGAATACGAACTAAGCGTGTTCCACAATATATTTTTATATGAAATATGACTATATCCCTTTTTTTTCATTTTATATATATTGTTTTTGCTGCTTATTAGAAGAAAGTTGTAGTTATACTGGCAAGTCTTCAGGAATTAGTTCTTTATAAATCATTCCTTAAATTTTATGAGACTTTTATTGCATGGTTTCCGGTCAAACCCAGCGGAAAATCGCAGTTTCCCTGGAGAAAGTTGGTTAACTTCCTCATTCAGGGGGCGCTTACAGCTAATGCCACTTGAAGAAGACCCTTGGAAAGGAGTTCCTAGTAACTACCTGTTCCATTTCCAGGTACCAGACCTTATCGCATTAGATCCCACATAACCTGGCTGCCAACCCACCGAATTCGTGGGCATTTGAAGCGTAAATAATATTTTTTCTTGCGACAATTGTCGCACAACCCCTTCTTTTGGCCCTCATTACCGCAGTCGCAGTTGCTGAGGAACGAGCATTATGGAATCCCCTATAGCTCGCTATCGGAGCATTAAAACGCTCATTAACCAGCTCGCTGTGAGAAAGAAGACCACTTGGCCGACGGGAAGACCCTTTGGAGGAATTGCTTGCCACGCACCGCTGAGCTTCGAGAGGTGTTTAGCATAAACTGCTGGTGGTTCCTTGTGGTTTCATCCGAATTATGACAGCCCCCCTTAGTAAGTTTGCTTCTTTTCGTACATTCCGCATTCCAAATGATTTATTCTGGCCAATAAAAAAAAAACGTTCTTAGGGCTATGAAAAAAATTTCTTAAGCTTATGGTATAGGAATATCCGTGCGGATTAGCTTTCTTCCACCAGGGAGAAGCTGAGGCGTCTCTTGGTGGCGTCTCTGGCCTG